GGTTTATATAAACACGACAGCACGGTAATTTTATCTATACAGTATTCCAACTTCATACAAACGGACGAAGCGAGAGCTATGCCTACGCGCCTCGATCTCGGCATGCGCTCGGCATGCAGACAGTCGTGAGTGCCGCAGTGGTGATTTTGTGGAATATATATAAAAAATGGAGGAAATAACTAATAGAATAGAAATAAAGAAATAATAAATGCGAACTTCATTTAAAACCAATCATATAAATTATAAAATATCTTTTACTTGGTTATAGATACCTCTTTATCCAAGTAAAAGATATTACTTTTCTCCACCTTGTCCATGTTTCCCAAAATAATTTTTAATTAAGCTTTATATTATAATGCGGATTTTTTATACTTAAAAATTTAATAATACAAGTAATTCCTACGTCTCAGCCGAGGCGCAAATATTGTTCGGTCGCAAATTCATAAGACCGATTTGTTATTCAAACATAAACATGGTTTTTTAATTAAATCTACCAATCAAAAAACGATACGCATTTTATTGAACACTTCCTATTGAATTTTCGAAGTACCTATTATATTTGATTATATAAAAAAAGTATATTTACAATCATAAAACTAAATGGAAACACAAAGTAGGCTAATGTAATGCTGAAGGCAGGGAGCCCTATTGCATGTTTACGTACCGCGCTGCTGTAGGCATTTATTTCAAAGATACGGCCGAGTTACAATACTGTATAGATTATATAGGCAGTTTAGGTAGATAGTATTACCGTGACGACAGTTAGCACTTGTCATTTGTCAGTTGCACTTGCCACTCGCACTTGTCACTTTTCTAAATGTAAACCAGACCTAACTATAGAACAGTTTGTTGGCGAAATTACACTCAATGTAAGGATCTTTAGCCAATTTGACGCTCACCATAATAACAATTTTATTTTAAATATTTTATACAAAGACTCCTACTATAATAACTAATTAATACTTCCTTACATTATATTCCTACATTACAGATCCACTACGTCATTAAATTTCTTTTAAATTAATGTTCGAGTAAATACCGTCTCAATTTATTTTAACTAAGTATCAACGCTTACGCCCTTATAGGTTTTATATTCAAAAACTTCGTTTTCTTTAACTAGCCGTTTTGCAGTAAATAAATTGCATGAAAAACCCTTTTGAAAAACAAAATACCAGTCAATTATAAATTAATCGTTTAAGGTTATTTCATTTTATAAGGCATTAAGCGTAAGATTTCTAACACATCTAAAACGTAGTTTTAAAATTTAAACTTTAATACTAAATTTATAATTAAATACCCATAAATATATGAATAATTAATAATAGTATTTACTATTAATATTTATTACACATGACTACACATTTGTGCCATTTGCTGTAGAGACTATCGGTGCGTGAGAACCACGTGCAGTGAAGTTCCTAAAGGAACTGTATCCACAACTAGTCGTCGCTGCTGGTGACAAGAGGGCTGGTTCTTTCCTCGCTCAAAGGCTAAGTACAGCTATACAGCGAGGAAACGCAGCCAGCGTTCTTAGCCATGGGTAGCAGGACTTTTTGACTATTTTAATTTTAAGTTTTAGTTTTTCTATATATTATAGTTTTCTTTTATATTATGTGCAATAAATATTAATACTATTATTAATTATACATTTAAACTTTTAAGAAAAATAAAAACGGATATCAAAACGATTTTTCTGAGGACAAACTACAAAAGATAATACCTATGTATTTTTGAAGACAGTTTTTAATTATAATCAACTAAAATTTCCTCGAAATACTACACCCCTTAAGTATGTATGACTTTTTAATAAAAGCAGAATCGTTTAAATCAGTTTAGTCGTAAATGAAAGCGCGTCGAATACAGAACTCCTCGTTTAAGAGATGAAGAATGAACTTACCTTGCGTTAACGTCGGCTGCACTCCCACCATACTTCTGCAGTATCCATCATTCAGCCTTTGCATATCATGTCCAGCGTATAAATAGTTCTGTAGGTGTCTCTGGTTCTGTTGAAGGCGCTCTTGTACGCTGAGATTCATCGCATCTTCTTCAGCGTTCGTCAACCCCAAGATGGCGGCGATTGTGAATGATTTTCCCGCTAAATTCGTGCCTTTACCCGTCAAATCGACACCGAAAGCCGACTGACTGTCGCTGTCTTCAATCGTCGAGGCAGGTGACGAAGATCTGTCGGCGTTTTCCGCAGTGTCGGTGTAGGGGTCTGCATTGTATTTTTCTTCGCCGTCTCCCAACGCCGACAATCTATTTACACTTTGCTGATAAAACAAATCCGTCAAATTCGACGAATAAATAGCATTCGGTCTCTGCTCCATCATTGCTTACATTTCACTTTTCACTAACTCTTAGCCAATGACAACACTGATAACCCTGATCATAATTTATTATTTTTAATTTACTTATTAGTCACAGATAATTAAGATAGAATCTAGTTAATTTAAGAGAGTAATTTGGCGCGCGTTCCGCCCTAGATAGCGTTGCGGTTTATGATGGAATAGTAAAATTTTAAAATCGGCAACAGGGCGGGGCCTGTGTTAAACGATCGGTTCGGTGGGAAAAAAATGACATCGTATGAAGTGGTCAATTCGAGGTGCTCGATTGCTTCTTCATCCTTATGAGGGGTTGATACGAGTGTTCCTATTGGTGTATTATTGCGCATGTGCGGTAAAGGCGTGGCCAGATTTAGTAGGTGTGGTTCCGCAGTGATTTGCGGTCGGCGGAAGCGTTTGATTGAGCCAGAGTTGGATTTGGGAAATCGTTTTTACGTTTTATTTTGTGTCGAAGGAAATGAAATGTAAAGATTCCTGAAATACTAAATTGCAAACATTGCTTATTATTGATTAATTGGAGCTTAAAAAGCATTCAACAACACGCATTGATCGTGAGCATAGCTGATCCCAGTGAAAATAATAGGACATCAAATTATTGTTTTGTCTTCGGTCTGGAAGTCAGTGAAAACTGAATTACGAAATTTTGCTATATTCACACGTACATACTCGATACAGGTACAGGTCAAAACTTTAAAGCGTAAAATAAAATAATAGATGTGGTTTGATTAAAAATTTTTTGAAACAGGTACCTTTCTTTATATATTTTCTTGAAATTTGATTTTTAACATTCTTTTTTTTTTAATAATATAAAGTAATAAAGGAGTGGGTGCGATTCAGTCTGGTGGTCTCACTATTAAGTCTGACGCTTGGCGGTCCACCACTGTTCGATTTACTAAGAGTTTTCTTCCTCGCACGACTTCTTTGTGGAATCGTTTACCATTGGCGATTTTTCCGATATGACTGAGAGACCTTGTTAGTTCAAGAAATAAGCTTCTAACCCTTCTTAAAAGGCTGGCTACGCATCTGCAACTCCTTTAGTTTTGCATATAATCGTAGGCGGTGGTAGACCATTTTCCACTTCTATAAAAAAAATTACCATCATAAAATGCGATTGGTAAGGCTGAATTTCGCCAGTTTCTTGTTTTTACTATGCAGGCCTTTTAGATTTTGTGTAACAGTCTTTTTATTAGCTTTAGCTGTTTTTATAAACGTCATCTAGTGTATTCATAGCAGTCTTAACTACTTGGTTTAGCAAATGTTTCCCAGTATTGCAGAGCTGAGAAATAAAGCTTCATGCCGAAGGCTTATAGTGATTCTTTAAGCATCCAGTTTTGAAGGACACAGCGGAAACATCATTAATTTTGATTAATTTTGAGGTTTCAGATCCTGTTAGTAGGTAGTTACCGCTATAATTTATTTTATCTATTTGTCTATTTCCCAAAAAAAATCACCGAGTTTTTCGGGATTACGCATAAAAATCATCGATATATATGCACTACGCACTAGATATGGCATTCCGCACACTCACTATGTTCAACTGAACTGTACTGCAATCTGTACACCTGTTATTGTGTCGATATTCATGCAGTGCGGAGCGGCGCTAATAATAATTTTATATTAAATTAGCACGTATGCAAAATAAAAGAAAATTAAAAAAAATGTACTTAATTAACAATACAATCTAAATGAACAATTATTTATTATGACAATCGTCGCGCGTTTATATCAACTACGCAATGCGCGACTCTAATATTTCCTGCGCAGTGCGGATACAGAGTAGTGCACATTTTTTGTTTGAAATAGCTTCTCTAGTACGTAGTATGCAATGATAAAAATATATCTTCACTCTATTAGCAAAAGTCATATTATTTATGTTTTACATTACTGACTAGGATTGATGTAAATTTAAAGGTGGGTCTAAACTAGAAGAGCTGAGTGCGAGCTGAGCGCAAGCTGAACCGCTTTATTCACGGTATCAAGTGTGGGCGTACAACGAGCCTACAACATGCAAATCGGCGCATGTGATGCAAATCCCTTTGTGTTCGTCAAAATACCGACAATAGGCGGAGCACAGTCGAGCACGAACCAAACGATAGAAGGGCGCTCGTTCGAGGCTAGTAAGTCGGTTCACACTACACTAATTTGTGCTAGGCTCATACTCCGCTCGTGCTCCACTCCTCTAGCGTCACCGACTAATATAAACAGGTATTCGTTTGGCCGTATTCGGTTTGGCCGTATTCGGTCGAGCTCGTTGTCGGTGTCGAGTGCGCCGTGCCCCGCCCGTCGCCCGCCGCCCGCAGCCCGCAGCTCAGTTCAAAGAGCGCAAGCAAGTCCGCTGCACGCGCACGATTTTGCATATTAAAATGACCTCTCGAAAATTAAGTGACTCCGAAACGACGCACTTGGAAGAACTGTATCGGGAAAACGAAGTTCTATAAAAATAAGTTCTAGAAAAGTTACACATAAGTCGTACAGAAGTCAAGAAGCAAGAGGTAACGCCTATGCAAGAATCAGATACTCGTTGAATACGCCATCACTTTCATTGCAAGACATAAGCAAGAAAATAAAAAATTTACGGTCTATCTACATAAAAGAAAGAAAAAAATTGACGCTAGCTTCCGATCCGATGCCAGTACACAATCTGTTTATAAACCAAAGATGCCGTGGTTAGAAATAGCTGATGGATTTTTGAGGATATATACAAGTAAAAGACATACAAATACAAATATGGTATGCAAGTTTATTAACTTAAATTAACACAGTAATTACATATTATTTATTTATTTATTGAAGATAATTTGTTTGCCAAGAAACAGCGCCAGTATCACCGTTAAAATAATCACACTCACGTAAAGCATTTCGTTTTTGTCTTGCTTCACTACAGTCCATATTATTTTCTTCAACAAATGATAGAAAATTAGATCTCCAGGTACTTGAATATGCAAAGTGTGCATGTGCAGGGGATGTTTTACGCAGCCAATTATGAAGACAGCAGCATGTTTTCACGACTTTCTCCGTTTTTTTAATATTTAAATTGATCTGTTTTCCAAATATTTGAAATCGCGAAGCCAATATGCCAAAGGCGTTTTAGACAATCCTCCGAGCCCTCGATAGTCGATAGTTGTATATTTTTTCAGCAACAGTAAGATCATGACCCGGGTAAGGTTTCATTAAGTAATTTTTGAGTGGGAATACAGCATCAGCTGCGAACACGAATCTTTCAGGAATATTAAGAGCATTGTTATCAATTACCGTTTTCAAGGGAGAATGATCAAAAACACCGCCTTCTGAATCTCTGCCTTTTGCACCAATGTCAATATACGTAAAACAATAATCGTGATCTACACAAGCTAATCATATTATACTGTAATTTTTTATAATTAAAGAAACCTGACCCAGTGTTTGGTGGCGCCTTAATCAGAATATGTTTACCATCAAGTGCTCCAATACGAATTGGGAAATTCCATTTCAATTCGAAACCTTTAGCGGTTTTAAGCCAATCTTCTTCTGTTTTCGGGATCTGATATGAAAAAAATTAAAATTACCTATTTTGACTTACCTATTTAACAACTATGATGATCCAGTACCTAATTTAAATGTTTTATATTTCAGGATGAAAATTTTGATTGTGCTTCAACAATCAGCGATACAGGCAGTGATGTCACGCAAACTCCCACATTAACGGAAGATACCTTTTTAAGTACATCGCAACATTCAACTGATTTTTCTGATGATTCTCGAAACTTACCTCAAAAACCTAAACGCAAAAGAAACCATGTGGTGGGAAATAAAGGTAACGAGAACTCTGAAGACGTGATTGCCGTGGCATTGGAGAAATTGGACAACGTTTGAAAAGAAGTTGGAACTATGAAGGAAGATGAATATGATATATTTGGCAAATACATTGCGTCTTCGTTGCGACAAATGCCGAAAAACACTTTATTTCAGCAAAATCAATAATCCAATAAACTATTACAGAATTTGAGTTGAGGATTTTATCTGAGAAATGTACAAAATCACTTACTAAAAATAATTATCCAATACATGAATATTTCACACCCAATTATACTACGAGTACTACTATGAGTACTAGTAGCCAAAGTAACATAGCAGTTGAAAACATAGAGCTAAATACAAGCAACGATTCTATCTCAAATGTGATTGGTGTTCTTTCGAACCTAGAAGATTCTCAAAATGCATGATCTATTAGCTTTAAAATCATTTCTGGAACGCAACATTCATAAAACCTATGTTTCGTAATTTTGAAAATATATTGATTGTAAATATTTTATTGTTTTACTTACATTAACTACATTAAACTAATTACTACACAAACCACATACCTCGATAAACGACTTTAACGTCTCAGAAATGGCATCGCATACTTCTGGAATAAATAAGCTTATAGCACTGTCAGAAACTCTAAAATAGAACTCAAGACTTTTGTAAGAATCGCCTGTTGCTAAAAAACGTAAAGTTATTTGTAGTTTTATTTTAGCGTTTAAACACTCTCTCAATGTACTGTCTTGTTTTTCTATAATCGGAGATATTTCATTCAGTAACCATTCGAATTGGTTTTTATCTATTCTAAAAAATAATAAAAAATCAACGTCAGTTTTGAATTCAGTACACAACAACACTGAAGCTCCTAACAAAGACCGTTGACTTAATAGAAGTGTTATCCACACTCTCTTTCTCTTTGTACTCCTATTTTTAAATTTTTACCTCAAAAATTCTTGTATTACATCGCACACAGTTAAAAATCCTTCTAACACAAGACTGTACATGGCGATGCTTGCAACCCGACTGTCCAATATACAATCGCCGCATCAATCAAGTCGCCGAATTCGGTTCACCGACCAATGTAAACAACTCAATTTAGGTAAGCATTTCAGTTAAACCGAATGCGGCCGCCGCCTTCGGTGACCGACCTAATGTAAATGCGCCATTAGGAGTGCCAAGAGGTTTCTAAAATATTTTTCAGCTAATATTTTATACCTCTATTTGGTTCATATCGTTATCGTTTATATAAATACTCGTAGTTTTTTGACTTACGTAAATTTATACGTTATTATTGTAAGATTTACTTCAGAAAGAAAAAGAAGGCACTCTATCGCATTGGACTCACCTGTAGAGGTAGATATGCAAAATAATAAATAAATAAATATTAACAAATTAAACTAACTGTAATATAGGCAATTACATACGAAATAGGGCCCTGTAAAATCGTAACATAGATTAACCGCTATAGATTTCGACATAATTCAATTAGCTGGTAGTCCGCCCCTGTACTCCCACTCCCCCTGCTAACCTCCCCGCGCGACGTTCTCTTGAAACAATTTAATAATATAATTTGCTTCAATGCGCCCGCAACGTTATTGAGTTATTAGATAATATTTAACAGATTCTTTATATTTCGTATAACCATTTCAAGAGCCTTAGTCGCTCAGCAGGTAAACCCTTGACTTAAATGTTCCGGGTGTGACGATATGGTGTAGATGATGTTGGACATGATTATAGTGCACGAGTATGTGCACTAACACAGGTGCACTCCTTATTCCCTCACTCCTATAATCCGATTTGGCGGCAATCAGACACGAATGGAGAGATATCAGGTTTAGATTAAAAGGTTTGATTAAAAACTCTTAGCATATTTAAGAATTTCGAAGTTTATTCTACGATCTCATTAATATGTTTAGTCGATCTTAACGATTTGTCCAGCCATAGACCCAAGTAAGGTGGGTGGGCCTTCGAAGGCCATGCTCCTTCGAAGGCCAATTATTAAAATGTCGTAGTTATTGCCATGTCATGACAAATTCCTTCTACTTACACAAACACTCATCGAACTGAAAATAACAGACGCGGCGGCGAATCGCTCGCGCTACTATTTCGGCAGTACGGTCCATCGCTTCATTGATTTCTGGAATCGACGACGTTAAAATAAGGTGGGTGTAATAAAACAAAGTATTACTTAAATATTTGTTAGTTTCATTTATCCATTAAATAAACGAATAATAACTGTTTATTTGTTAGAGTGGCCTTCCATGGTACACCCACCTTATTTAACATTTTCATGTGTCTCTGTTGAAAACAACATAATTTTGATTTAGATGCCGGCAATTGGAGCCCTATTTCGTCTAGCAAAATTACGTTCTTCCGGAAGCAAGAAGTTGAATCACCGCCAAACTGACCCTGAACTTAAACCTGATCTAGGAGTCTAACCCGGGACCACAGTAGGATTTTCGTCCATGATAAATTTAACAATGGAACATTTATAGAATTATCACAGTGTCAGACTTTTTATATGTTGTAGAATTTTTTTCTCTTCTGGGTTTTTGTTTTCTCGTGGTTAGTAAAAATGTGACTGAGTAATAAAATTCTTTATTGCATTGTCTAACTTACAAATGAATACAAAGAGCGAACTCAATGCCATGCGATACTCTTTACCAGTCAATCCATGGAGTGGTGAAAATTTTACGTCGGTGTAGCAATATAGAGTTAAAGAAAACATAACTAAAAACAATTAGTTTCTTCTATTTATCTATTTTTAACAGCATACTTACACAACTGTATGACATTCACGCTCCAATTCATCCAGTTCGAATGAAGCATCTTCCTGCCCCCTGGCTCACTGCCGATATAAAAAAAACTTCAAGAAAAAAGAACATAGCGAAATCTAAATATCGTATGAATCCTAATGATTCTAACCGAGCGAAATATAACAGGGCACGAAATCGCTGCAATATGGTGTGTAGAGATAGTCAACGACGCCATATCCATAAATCTGTTGTTGAGGAAGATAACTCAACTAAAGTTTGGAACTTTCTCAAATCTTTAGGGGTTGGAAAAGCAAAGCGTAATGTAGAATCTCTTAATTTGAATTTAAATAAGCTTAATGCTCATTTCCTCTCTAGCGCCACTATAGACAGTGCTACGAAGAAAAATACACTTGCTCAACTTTCTGCTATATCAACTCCCAATTTTTTCCTCTTTTGTCTTTAGCCAAGTTACTGTCAGTGATGTTAAGAAGAATATATTAGCCATTACTTCCGACGCAGTTGGTTCTGACAGCATTAGTCGTAAGATGATTATCCCAATACTCGATCTTTTAGCTCCTATACTTACACTTATTTTAAACCGTTCCCTTGACACCAGTGTTTTTCCTTCATCCTGGAAAGACGGCCTAGTAACTCCACTCCCTAAAAAATCTAATCCGACATATGAGGATTACCGTCCTATATCCATCCTTTCCTTTCTCTCTAAAGTACTCGAGCGCCTAATATACCAACAGCTGAGCAAATTCCTGTCCAATCATAACCTTTTGAATTCATTCCAATCTGGTTTCCGTCCCGGTCATAGTACGACTACGGCTTTGGTTAGAATCACTGATGATATTCGCCTGGGCATGGATAGTCAGCAGGTTACAGTATTGACATTGCTTGACTTTAGTAATGCCTTCAATACTGTAGACTTTGATGTTTTACTCGCTGTCCTAAGTTCTCTTAACATATCTCCTGAAGTTTTTTGAATTGGTTGGTTTCATAGTTACTTGCAAGGGCGCCGGCAACGTGTACAAATTCAAGACACGTTTTCTGACTGGTCTGCTGTCAAAGCTGGCGTCCCACAAGGTGGCGTGTTGTCTCCTCTATTGTTCTCTATCTTCATCAATTCGATCTGTTCCCACATAACTTCTCTTTACCACCTATATGCAGACGATTTACAAATCTACTCTCAATGTAAGATTGCGGATCTCCCCAATACAATTAGATTAATTAATGAAGATCTTATTCGTATTTCTCATTGGTGTAATTCATTTGGGCTTAAAGTTAATCCATTGAAGACTCAAGCCATTATTATTGGGAGTTCGAAATTAATCTCTCGGTTAACTTTGTCGCTGCTCCCGCCAATCATATTCGATGGGACACTTATCCCATACAGTGACAAAGTTAAGAATTTAGGTATTATGTTCGATCAGACTTTGTCTTGGGGACCGCAAGTTAGTGAAATAAGTAAAAAAATGTTTGCCGCAGTTGGTTCACTTCGAAGATTACGCAATGTTCTCCCCATTCCTACTAAAGTTGCGCTGGCTCAGTCTCTTCTTTTACCGATCCTTGACTACGCGGACACTTGTTATCTTGACCTAACATACGAGCAACTTAATAAACTTGAGCGGCTTCAAAATTATTGCATAAGGTTTATATTTGGGTTACGAAAGTATGACCACATATCCGAATTCCGCCATAAGCTCAAGTGGCTCCCGATTCGTCTTCGCAGGAATACTCACATTCTTCATCTTCTTTACTGCATTCTGTTCAATCCGACCACTCCTTCTTATTTGAAAGACCGATTTATATATTTAAGTAGTTTACGATCTCAAAATAATCTCCTTCTAAGTACCCCTAGACATTCCTCTTCCTTCTATTCTAATTCTTTTACGGTTACCGCTATACGACTATGGAATTCTCTCCCCTTACATATCAAAAAATCTAAATCTCTTCCTATATTTAAAAATAAATTAAAACTTTATTACCTTTCCTCTTAAGTTACTACCTGTCGTCATTCATTTTTTTTTCTTTAATCATTTATGTTCTTCTATTTATCTTTCTTTATCATATTCTGTACACCCCTTCCGCTATCTTTTAAAATAGTATCCTCTGCCCTAAGGTTGCCTGGAAGAGATCGCTGTTTTAGCGATAAGGCCGCCTGTTGTACCAATGTCCCTTTAAATATATAAATAATGTAATATGTTCCTTGGTGTACAATAAAGTATATTTTACTTTACTTTTACTTTAGTTTATACAAAATTATGTCGATACTTAAATACATATAATCATTATACAGATATAAATAAA